ATGCCCCTTTTTCTCCTGTTCCTAAAGCACTATATGCCTTTTTTTACAATCAACACTAGCTTTGATTCTACAACTGCGCATGCTCGGTGACATTGTTGATATTCATTACATATATATTACAATTTAAACTCCTATTTGGATCGGCAAGTCCTTAACAATTCTTACCCTTCTGAGGCTTACAACTAGACAACATTTGTCTGATTAATTCTGCGCAATATTGCACTATTTATTGAACGACAGTTTGAAATGTACACTAGCTTGTCATCTTCCGTCATAATAAAATCAGTTGTTGCATTACAGACTGAATATTCTTTATTAACTGACAAACATCTTCCTCTGATAACTCTTGAACGAAATCAACAAACACGTACTTTCCATTTCCAAACACAATAATGAGCATTTGCGTAACCATTACATCAGCAGAGTATCATCCAGACACCCTCTTTGTTTGGCCAAAAACAGTGACAACGTGTACGAAATTATAAAATTGAGGACAAATATTACCGAAAAAAGTGGCACTTTTGCATACCTGCGACGTTAGTGTGAACCACAACTTGCACGTATACAAAAGTGCAACTGTTTTCGGTATCATTTGTCATAAATCACTTTATCACTGTTTTTGGGCATAAGAAAGAGTATGGATGGATTGCTAAGGAATTTCTGTACTAATTAGTTGCTTAGTTGAGCGAGTGGTGTTCATTAAAGGGAATATACATCATTTGCTTTTGCTGTAATTTTCAGAAATGGATGGAATTGGGGGGTTGGAAATATATAGCAAATATAGTTACACTGACTTTTTTGAGTTTTTGGGTTCGAAAATGCTCTAAAAACCAAGAAAAACAATCATTTTCCTGTAGTCTCGTTCCCCTGACTCCATTTAAGAAGAAACAGAGCAGTTTACATACATTGGGGAACCAGTCTAGCTGGCTTGTACCCGTTCATAGGTGTGTAATCGATTGCAAACAAGTGCGATGGTCAACTGGGGCCAGTATTTGAAGAAAAAAAACAGTTTTTTCCAACGCTGGTCGGCCGATCAGCGTTGGAAATTTATACAAAAATACCACTTTTCTTGAAAATGACAGTATACCAGGTGCCATGATTTTACAGAATGCTTTACACTGTCATTCAAGAGTCCAGCAAGGTATTTCAAAATGATTTGGTAGTTTTATTTTTTGATGTTTGCAAATGTTGTATTTTCCCTTTAGTATTGGGGTGAAAGGAAAAATACAACATACGCAAACATCACAAAACAAAATGATCAAATTATCACGAAATACCTTACTGGATTGTTAGGGAATGACAGTCTAAAGCATTCTGCAAAGTCGTCGCTCCTGGTGTGCTAACATTTTCAAAAAAAAATGTTTTTCCAATGCTTGTTAGCCGACCAGCGTTGGAGAAAACTGACATTTTTTTAAACTGCACGTAATTTTTTCATAATTAGTTATTCCGCATTTTCTTTGCAATTGATTACACACCTGTGGAGGGGTACAAGCCTGCTAGACTGTTTCTCTGACCTTACAATTCCCCAAAGTCTATAAATTGCTCCGTTTTATCTTAAGTGGCGTCAGGGAACCAGACTACAAGAACATGATTGGTCTTCTTGGTTTTTACAGCATCTACAAGCCTAAAACGTGAAACAAGTCATTTTAACAATATTTGCTATATTACTGATCCTCCAAAATCATTTATTTCTGAAAATTGTAGCAAAATTAAGCAAATGATGTACATTCCCTTTAACCCTAAAGGACCGGGCTATTTTAACCAGCTCTCAGCCGCCCCCCCCCCCCCCAAGATCTCGGCCATCTAGCGACGAAAAATTATGAAACTCGGTATATGCATAGAACAACCTATCATAAACATACCCAAGAGATTTCATGACTGTAGATCAAAGGAGTTGAGAATTATGGCTAATCAATTCGGGCGATTCACAATGCAGTGCGCCACCAAGAGTTTGCCACGGAGTGTTCATTTTTCCCCGTGCATTGTGGGAGATGGTCGACAAATTCGCAGCGCGGGACATTTAAAATTTTTAGTTTTTCAGGCCAGAAAGTTCGTAAGCGTATGATTCGAGTATCTGTTTGCCCTTTTCTTTTCGTTTTATCAATATGGAGTTTTTTTGGTAAGGCGGCAGAACGCTTTGCCCCAATCTATAACAAATTAGCTCAGGTTTTCTACTGAGACTCATTCAAATGGGTCATGTTTTGTCGACCGTAAACTTGAGAAACGAACTCTCCGTGGCAAACTGTTGGTGGCGTACTGCATTGTGAATCGCCCGAATTATTCATATAATGGTAATTCTGTGTGTGGGGAAAATTCAGTTTTCACGGCGCGTAGCGCCGGAAAAATTTTCATAACAGCTCGGGTCGCGAACAAAAAAAGTATTGGAAGGTGGGGACTTTCTTTTTTGGTTGAGTGTATGAAGTTACATTTACAGTTCTGTTGCAGAGACTAAATAAATTATCAGGGAAGATTAGGCTTGGAAGAGTGACTGTCCTCTTAACGAAATCCTAACAAAGTACTATATTTCAGCCAAAATATTACCCATTGGGAAATTTTTAAAAAGTTAAAGCAGTTCCGCTAAAAACAATTAATGGAACAACACAGAATCAGTTTATTTGATTTTCGGCACTCTTACCAAACAAACCAAATTCTCAACGCTTTAAGGGTGTCACAGTCGAGAAAATAAATCCTTTCTAGACTTCAAAACATCTAAGGTTATTTGTAGCCATGGTCAGTGAATGGTAGGAATTTGGATTGTGATGCTCTAGTGAGTGCTTTGTGTTTAGGATCCATATAAATACGCTCCATTTTTAGAACCAGTCATCCGCTTGACAACAGTAACAGCAGCGCCGGTTGCCTTTAGTTCACAGCTATTGCAGTGCCACCCTCGTCGAGTTGAATACAACTTACTTTGCTAAGGGGCGAACCTGTTGTACAGACCGTTAGTTCCTTCTTGTAATTTGGGACTCTTTCGTTTGTCATTAACTCAGTGTCATTAAAGAAAGTTAACATTTTGTGATTATGACTGGAAATTGTTTTTCTTCTTTTTTCGAGCTCAATGGTTATGACCTTAATTGGGCATGTCAGGGTCCGCAGTGACGATTAGATGGTGGTAACGCAGTCTAGTTTTTATTGGCGCAATGTTTTTGGTTTGCCACGGTTCCGACAATTTGTTACAATCTTTTTATGTTATAATATCATGATCGAATATTGGAATGTGTTTTTTCAATATTGTCTCCAATTAAAAGTGATTTTTATTCGAATTGGAATTTTCGCGATTAATACACTATTTTGCACACCTCCTGGATTGTCCTAGATCATTTGCAACGACACCAGAGGTGATTCTGCATTCCTTCGGAAGCTTCAAACCAGCACGGGCTTCAGCTTGGTTTCCAGCGCTGCATGCACATTTGGGGACGCCAAGTCAAATGAAGCAAATTCTGAAAGTGAGTATTTTTTTGGATAGCGTTTAAGTCTTACCTTCTCGTATATACAAAATTGATGAAAATCGCTCAAAAAATGTAACTTCTCATGTACATCATCTAAAATTTTGGTTTAACTCCATTGGAAAACAACAGAGTTATTATTGATCTAAAGAAGGACCTTTTTACACTTAGTGCCCCCTCTGTTGGAAGAAATTGATGACAGCAAAAAATACGGAGTGTGCTTACACGCTGTAGTTTTTACTGTGGAATTTATTTTGTCTTACGGTTCCCGTCATTTTTTTCAAAACCGTTTTGTTATATCATGAATAATTATTGGACGAAATTTCAATTCAATTCAACGCATTTTCCTTAAGATATCGGCACCATCAACAAAGAGTGGTTGTTTTTTTCGTTCAAGATTTCCGTTGATTTTGTTTAATCGTCACATTGCGACTAAATATTTAACAAAATTTTATTCAGAAGTGATTCCAATTCAGAAAGATTTTTTTCACGATAAAAATACTGCTTTCTTTCAATCATATTGAATAATGTTTTCCCAAGGTTCTCTTCAATTTTCAATCATGTTGCGTCAAATATCACAGCCAATAATGCGACGCAATTTTAAACATATGCGATGTGTTATTCTGCAGTATTATCTCCAGAAAGAGTGTCGTATTTTTGTCAAATGGGCACATCGTGACCCACAATGGGTCGTATGTATAAAAACTAGTAAATGCTAGGAAGTTTAAGCAAAAAGTAAAAGCATTTGCTTTTGAGTACAAGCATTAAGGAAAAGCAAACGCTTAATTTCGTATGAATAAAAGTTTTCCTTTACTGTTCAGCATTTACTAGACAACAGGTAGCAAATGCTTCTTACTGTTGGATTGTTTTCATGGACGAATGATTGCCAACAAAAGGTTTTCTTATGTGTGTACGAACTGCCGCACATATACAGGGTTTACACGTAGTGTAATAGTCCAAATCAAGGTGATGCATACAGTACATGTAGTAGTACATACATTTTGATCCTCAAATCCAGCAAAAATGATGACACTTTTCGGCAGTTGCAGAATACAAAAAGTATACTTTTCATCATTCATGAAAATTGTAAAGGTCCACAGTGTCCTATAGACGTCACAATTGCATAAAAATCACAGACGTGTTAAAGTGGGTGAAATCATACCAACATTCGATACACACAGAGTTTTGTTTATTGAAATATTAAAAAAATAATAGTTTGCAAAGATTGGTGACCTAATAAACTAAACAAATGATTTCATTTTGTTCAGTCCCCAGGGTGCCGTTGGATAAAATGTATCCTTAATCATTGTGCCGCACTGAATTTTACGCTTACACTTCTTATATCGTGAACAAAATGCGAAATTATCGTTTCTAATTCTAGTAATAAAATACATAATAAAAAAGTATTTAAATTGCGCATAAATGTTAGTCAAAATACAGTGTATGGTATTATATGTAGTTTATAGGTTTTCTCGGTCAATTTCGGCAAATGAGCAGCCAATTTAACCACTACGCTATTCTATTTCGCGCGAAATCAAATGCTACTGAAAAGGG